TTCCTATTTGTGGTGTTAATAATTTTCATTTGGTATTTCCGTTCCCCGTTACAGATCACATTATAACTGTCAGAAAGCAGTGCCATTTTTATTGTTGTTGTTGTTGTTGTTGTTTTGAGAAATTATTTTTTTAGAAGAGGGAAAAAAGTGTCTGTGTGTGTGTTTTTTTAAATTTTATTAAAAAAATTTTCATAACAAGCAGTGTAATTGGCACATTGATAGGTTATCATTATCATAGTTGATGGATACGTCGAAAATGATTCAGGAGATGAAAATCTAGACTTTTTAACGTTATGATTTTCACAATGGTCAAAATTACAGACAATCTGTCGCTTCTTTTTTTGGAAAATCTTTTTGACTAATTGCTAGAAAGGTTGTAAGAAATTTTCCTTTCAAAACAGGGTAAATCAATTAAGAATTGTCTAGTTTAAAAAAATATATGACGGTTAAAGAAGAAGGAAGGGAGAAAGAGTAGGAGAAGATGAAGAGGAGAAAAGCAAAAATATTTTTTAAGTGAGAAAAATTGAGTAAAGGGATAGTTTTTTTTGCTAGCTTCCGTTTAATACTAAATAGCAACAAAAAAAAAGGTAGTGAGTGAAATGTACTGAAAGAAAAAAGTGAGGTTTTTGATAAATCTTTTTAGCAGTAAACATTTGTTTTTTCTTTAATAACATTAACAAGAAATAAAGTTTTTTGAGCCAGAAAAAAATGGATGCCATCAAATGAAATGTTAAACAGAATGGGTGGCAATTTCGCTAACTTAGTTTTTCATCTTTATTATTATTATTATTATTCGTTTAGTCCTCGTCCTTTTTTTTTTGATGTCACTTCTGTTTTCCTTGTTTTTTTTCTTTTCTTTTTTATGAGCTGCTAATTAAGCGATAATTTTTAAGGATTTAAATATTGTTAGAAATGATGTAATCTGATGCACAGATGAGCCAAATTTGTGTTGTTGTTATTTTTTTCCGCCAGCCTTACCCGCATCATCGTCAGCATATAGGGGCAATTTTTTTTCCATATTTATTGTAATTTTTTGTGCTGTCATCAATGTTGAATGTTGACGATGGCTATGACGATGATTCATAACTACTGATCCTGAAAAGTTATGAAAAAATTTTTAAATTTATTTTTTCCTCTTTTTCCCACTCACCAAATTGCTTCCACATTTATCCAACTTTTATACGACTATTAGTACACTATTTTTGTTCATTATTTTTTTAAAGGTACAACTGACGACGACGAATATAATGTGGAAAAAATCGATACAAGTGAACAATATTGGTCAGTAGATTATGTTCCGGTGGTAAACCAACAGCATCAACGACAGCAGCAGCAACAACAACAACAACAACAACATCTGGGAAATCCTGGAAACAGTAGCAGTAGTAGCCTAATTAATAGCAACCGTACGACTGGTACTGAGGTAAGCAAAATCTATTTTTTTCTTCTTTAATCTTGCTAGATTGCAGCCCTGGATTGTGTTATATCTGTGTAAAACTTTGATATTTTAGTTCTCAGATTGCATTTTGATTGCCTAAGACTTCCTGAAACAAAGGCAAGAGGGGACAATGAGGGTCGACAGACCAGTTAAGGGATAAGAACTAATATAGTTCTGCTCAGAAATAAAACAAAATTGACTACTAAAAATTGGCGCTAGCAGACTAATCTGTGTTTAGCTAACCGTGTTAGGCGGTGGTCATTGGATGTTTAGGGAAAGGCGGAGGGAGAAAGAAGAATCGTTAATGATAGTCATTGCTGTTAAAATTGTCATGGTAAAAAAGAATAAAAAATAATTGTTTGTGTACGACGTTGGCTGTTTATTGTCACTTTTTCTGAAATAGTAATAGTTAAATACTGTTAGATTGGATAAATTGATAGATATTTGCGGAACAATTTCTCCTATCTATAATTCCTACGCTAATAAATTTGTTTATTGCTTGTCAAGAATTCTTTTTTTTTTTTCTTCTACTTCTTTTACACAACTCTTTCGTCATTGTAGTTGTTCAGCGAAGTCGAATTTGGTGCTAAATTCTACTATATACAACACCAGATAACCCCAAATATCAAATCATACCGAGTCCCATTAATCTTAGCTTTAATCTGCTGTTTTTGTATTATTATTGCTTTCGCTGCTACTGTTGCTGCCAATGACAAAGCAGTCACTGTCGGCTTGACTTTTGCAATTCGTTAAACCCACTGTCTCTGAATTTGAATCTTTGGTCTGTTCTAATGACATTGTTGCCCTTCGTCATTCTCCTCCAGCCTCCTTTCAGTAAGCTGACAAATCACGAATTCTTGACATATTTCAATTTAAGAAATTTTCATTTCATTGTAACAGATTTTTTTTATTATTGGATGTGGTTAAAAATGCAGCCAGTTATAATAAACTTCTCTTTGTTCAGCATCTAATTTTATGTCTAGTTCCA